GAACAACATCAATTGTAAAATTCGATTTTTCAATAGAATCCGAAGATATTCCACAAAAAAATTCCGAAAAGTTATTTTCAAAAACTTCGATAAGACAATAATAAATAAAAAGCACAACATAAAACCCACATTAGAATTTATGAATGCTAGAATTTATAAATGCAATATAAGAAGCGATTAAATCACAAGATCTGAAGAGTATTATCGAAAATTTTGGAGAATTTGTTTCAACCACCGTTTTATTTGGTGAACGACTTTATTACAATGACACAGTTCATACGATAAAAAATTCGGAAAACAACAAAAAGACTTTTTCAGCAACCATCAATGTTCATGATCAGGTCTAGATGCTCAGCGTAAATTAAATATATCCAAAAGAAGTGAAGCACCATGAAGCATCAAGATACAATAATATTTGGTGGTGATAAAATTAAGTCATATCAATGAAAGGAAGTTGAATGGATATCTTCATTACAAGACTTTATGCTTTGGGAACCAATTGAATTTCGTAAACCTGTAAGCATATTTGAATTCTTGGATGAAAAATTAAAACGGGAAATTAGAGAAATTAACGGGAAAATGATAATTTATGACATTAATGGCATTAAATTGGATAAATCACTTATATCCAAATTGTATTTACTAGTGTCTTGTAAAGTATATAAGCGCTACTTTTTCCCTTTAATAAAGATACATCGGAGATTAGAGAATAAATCCCTTCGCATAATAACTCCAATACCACATTTGCTATCCCTAATTCTCCTGATAACAAAGAAATATTTCAGTCTCTGCCGGGGCTGAAATATCTTGATCACGTGCCACGTGACCCCGAAGGCCAACAAACCAGGATAATCCAAGAGTAGCCCTAAAACCCGGACCAAATCTTCCACACCTCTTTCGACGTCTTCCACTTAGGGTTTATTGTTGGATTTGTAATAGTTAAATAGACCCGAGCCTGTATGCGACATAGCCTCCGGTCAGATCTACAACGTTCAATGACTTTCTATTCAGAAAATTATGTACCCAATCCCTAGTTGGCCAAATTTATTCCTCCCGGCCAAATTACACTCTTAGCTTTGCCCGCAAAATTATCGATTTCACTATGATTGGGCCAAAATTATCGATTTATATCAATCTATTTATATCAATCTATATATATCGATATTTTTCCGTGTTCCTGATCGGTGTGTAACTTAGTTATACGTAATGTTACTACGTATTGCAGTATTGTAAATTGGGAGCGATTAACGATGTCCGGTTTAGCTCCAATAGTTAACGTGATACGGGTTATAATATCTAATTACTAATAAACAGGTAATTAATAATGGAGGGTTTGATACTGTACTCTATTTATAAAGGTCGTGTATTATATAAGGGTCGGGTAATTGATTTAAGGGATGATCGGAATAATTTGATAATGTGAGACCCGAAGAATGGTTAGATAGGGTCCGGAATGGTATAACGTGACCCGGGTCACGGGGATAATGATTACATAAATTGCATAAATTACATTTATTGCATTTATTGCATTTATGGAATTTATGTAATAAAAGGGATATTACTTTTATTAGTTTTATGATATTTATGTAATAAATTAGATTTATTGAATTTATTGAACATTAAATATCATTATAAATAAAGACCGTGAAGGCCCAACTAGAATAAAAAGTTTTGTACTGCACATCTGCACACAATTGAATATTTCCCTTACTAAATAAATAAGTCCTACTACCTAACCCACACTTTCCTTAATTACCCCCTCTGATATTCTACTAAGTAGTATAGTAGAATTATCTTCACGAAGCACATAGATTAATCCATGATTACCGTACCTCCCTCAGAAGTGATAATCGAGCCGTCCCTTAGTAGTAGGAAAGACGACCTAAGCTTTAGAACATCCGCCTGCCAAATCTAACCGCCTCTTTCGATATGGTCATCAGGTTGCTGATCGATTATAAGATCTGTTTGGTCCCGGTGACCAAACCGCCCGTTCGCACTGTCAACAACCCTAACCTGAACCAATCAATTATCTGGTCAATTAGATCATATGCAGATAATCATCTGATCAATTCATACGTACAGATAATGATTTAAATTACTATTTTAGAACTTATGATTGGTTAAAACTGTTTTAATATACCATTTCAAAATAAAAAAATAAAATAAACGATACATATTTCTCTAAACTATTAATACTTCAGATATTTATTGAATAAACCGTTAAAAATTTAATGATCAGATAAATTATTTGAATTAAATGTTTTTCTGGATAACGGATGACCAGATCTAACCTTTAAAAGAGCGAACATACGCTTAAAATTTTAATAGTGTAGTTAGAAGCTATGGGATATTTTATAATTAAGTTATCGTTATAAGTTATCATGATGTATTATAAATAGGCCAATCATATTTCAAAAGAGGACAGACAAATTAAATTTTAATAGTATAGAAGATAATATCGACAGTCTATAATAATATTGGCAGTCAATAATAACATAAGCAGCTATAATAATGTAGGCAATCAAAAAAAATTTTGGCACATGACGTTTTGAAACACCGTGGCGAAAATACCCAAAAAATTTTACCAGACCGTCTGTCGAAAATCAACCCTAATTTCGACACCATGTATAGCTATACAAATATGGAATGTAGCTAATCGTTCTAATAAATAGGCAAATATGGAAAAGATGTAAGTATTGTGCGCACAAAAACCAATAATACGTAATTGCGTATACGTAGCAGTCAAAAATTGATGGTTATTTAAACTAATATAGAAGAAGAAAATCTATTTACTAATTAAGAAAAGAAAATTCTTCAAATTACAAGTAGGGCTGTTAATCGATCCATAGAGTAGCACAGTGCCATACTCATTGTCTGAAATTTAGTACTACGTACTGTATAATGACGAATAAAATTTACCCATCTCTACTTAATAAGGCCTTAATTAAATCAATTATTATAACTTTTTGTAATTACAGCTGTTCTCATAAATTTTGGGATAAGCGAAAAAGTTTGTTCATTTACCAACATCTCTTTGGTTTCATCCCAAGAATCATCAATTCTCCGGAAACTACGTCGCTGAGGATCCAAAGATAGCAACGTAGTTTTCGAAGAGTTATGATTCTTGGGACAAAACCCGAGATTTCGGTAAACGAACAAAATTTTTCATTTGTCCTAGAATTTATGAGAACAGCTGTAATCAATTATTGTAACTTAGTTTTCTCAAGTCTTAAGGCCGAAAAGTATAAGCATTGTATGCAAGTACGTACACATGTATATCCTGGTAAACATAAACATAACATATTCTCGGCTATTACATAATATTTGGTTACAATTCATTGACGACAATGTTAGTTTATATTTTAAAATATAACTTGATACGTAATAAAAATGTAACCAGAAAAGAATATATATATCATAATTTTAAGCAAAAAACCTTAAATTTTGCAACACTTACCTGAAAAATAAAGGATAATACGTACGCCAATTTTCCATTTTGGAAATTAATATCAAAAATTTTACAATCCATAAATGGTTTCTTGCAGTAAAGTATTAATTATATCGATAAAATTATATAAAGGCTCGAATTCCACTCGTAGATTATTCAAATTGAAACCAACTATTAATTAGAAAAATTAAAAAAATATTTGATAAATCAAAATTTTTAGCCTTAAATTACTCAGCAATCAATCTTCGACTTAAAATTCCTATTTATAAAAAATGTCTGGTCTTATTATACCTAAATTATTTGTTTATCCTACCACCGGTTCGAATGTTGTTCCGGCAAAAAAAAACGCATTGATCCCTTATATCCCTCCCGAAATTATTTGTATTATTCTTAATTTATTAAGGGATGATAAGAAAACTCTTGCATCTTGTGCTTTAGTTAATCATACTTTTAACCTTCACGCTATTCCTATTCTATATCATACCGTAGCGTTTACTTTTCCTCATACGTTTACACTTTTCGCTAATGTAACGAATGATATTAAAAATCGTTGTTCTCAAATGGTTCACCATTTGGATCTTTCGAGTTTTTCTACTTGTGGTCTGCAAAAAAGTTCTTCTGAAACTCAAAAAGTTGTCACTCCAGAACTTTTAATTCATATTTTAAGATCATTTCCTGGATTAAAAGCTTTTTCGATATCAGAATCTTTGGAATCTGTAATTACCCTTGATGTTTTAAAAGTTTTATTTTTAGAATGTAAAAGCATCAAAACTGTCGATTTTTGTGGATGTGCCAGCAAACAATTTAGTAACGCTCTAGAAGAATTCTCTCTTCTAATTGGTCGCGTTAGGATCGAACAATATTTCAATGATAACGGTGATGAGTCAACTATATCTTTTCGAATGAATCACGAACCTTTATTATCTCATTTACAAAGACTTTCATTCCATGAGTGTCCAGTAATTTCTGAATACTCAACCATTATACCTCTTCTCGCTCATGCACCAAATCTTACACATCTTGATTTAGGTGGTTGTTCTATCAGCGATTTAACATTAAACTTCTTATCTGGAACAGATGCTCCATCTAGATTATCACATTTATTATTAGCTAAATGTAAAAACATTTCATCAGATGCTATTGCATCTTTTACAACTAAATGCTCAAAATTAGAAACTCTTAATCTTTATGGTGACAGAACTTCTATTAAAGAATTTGATTTAATAACCATACTTCGTTCTCCCAACTCAAAAAATTTCCAGATATTAGATATTGGATCTTCACAAATAACACCGTTAATTTTAACAACAATTAAAGAAAATTGCAAATCATTACAAAATCTTGGAATTTCAAAAGCACCAATAACCAACATAAATCTTATTAAAGATCTTTTAAAAGCTTTGCCAAATTTAAAATATATTGATCTTACTTCAATACCATGTTTTAATATTTTAAACACGAACAGTCTATTTACTAGCATAAAAAAGGATAATCATCCTATTCATACAATTGAGATGTCTGAGTCATTACTTAAAAAGCTTCACGTTGTTGATGGATGGAAAATTGACATAACTAATGGTAGAAGATGGTATTACTCTCGTGAAATTAAGGGGGGAGCAATCAGACCTAACCGAGTACATGGAAGAAAATTAGATATAACTGAATATGGTGCTGAATATATGAGCAAGATTTTTCAATATTATAGCTTTGATGCATAATTACAATTCGGTTATTTATTAATAATAGATTGTACAGTTTTAATGTCTTATAGTATCATATACAGTATTATTATTACTTATAAGAACATTTTTTAGAAAAAATAATCATAAAAATAAGATATGTAAATATTTTCGTCAATATAAAAAAATAAAAAATTTTTTTTTTAAAAAAAAACATACCTATATGGAACTTTGCTATGAAAATGACCTTCCGAGCCTATTTAGATTTTATGCATAAAATTAAAATTTATCAGCAATCCAGTAATCCAATTTGAATAAAAAATTTTTATTTCATAAAACTTAGCGAACTCTACTAAATAAAAGAAATTATATTACTAGATCGCTAGTAATTTTAATTTTATTCATAAAATCTATATGGTCATTTTCATAACATATTGTTGAATAAAATTTCTACATGAATAATTTTATTAAAAAATGCATATTTCGGCATAAATTTGGCTTTAGCGTAAGAAAATAATGGTCTAGAAATTCGTGCTACATATAAGTTTTTGGAAATTTGACTATCTTCAAAATTAGACTAATCTTTTTTAGAAATTTTTTGTTACGAATAAAAGATTTATATTTTTTCGCTCTTTTGAAATAATGATGCGATCTGATATCCGAAATCCTATCTGACTTTGATTTGACCCTCAAAGTTATCTGATGCCAGATCTGATGCTGTATCCGTTATCTGATGCCAGATCGAATGCTCTATCCGTTATCTGATGCCGTATCCGTTATCTTCTTTGCAGGTATCTGTTTTATCCGGCCAAAATTCAGGGTATGAATTCATCGGAGCTAGGTCGGTATTACAACTGTTTTCATAAATTCTGTAACTCTGATAAAAATTTGATCGAATAATTATACCGAGTTCACTATATACTGAACTTCAACTAATGAGTTTGTTAAATACAGGTTCAAGGTTTTTCGGATTGAGAAGTTGTCTCTTATTGAAAAAATAACAAAAATATGTTATCTCTAAGAATGAATTAAATATAATTTTGAAAAATCTAATTTATTTAAACTTATCTAAAATCTAAACTAATTTATAGTAATATATTATAGGGAAAATCTATTCTTACACATAGTGGTTTTACACGGCTATTAATTTTTAAATTCATGTAATCGAAATCAAATCAATTTTTATGAAAATAAAATCTGATTATGATTAGGTTAGGGTGAGGCCTGGAATTTTAGCAAGGTATATAGTATATACCAAAATCTGGCAAGAAAATTTTTTTATGAGAACCTCAAAGGTAGCTTCTTAGGTAAAATTTTGTGATATAAATTATATGTGCGTATATACACTCGTGTACAAATAGTAATTACCTATATAAAATTATATAATATATTCTTATATTACCACAAGCAGAACCTGCTAACCAACAGCATGATTTCTGCGATTTTATCATTATGTAATTCAATAACCTATCAAAAGAGGCATAGTAATTTGGCAAAGATAATTCTAAAGCTTTAGTTGAGCTTAAATTATATGACTTTTCAAAATTGATTATTACTCTACCAAGAAAAGTTATTTAGGTAGTATAATAGTAGTTTAGAACAATATTTTTTTCTCTTAAAAGAGATCAAATAAGTGATTTTTGTAAATATATTTATTTTGAGAATAAGTTGAAATGAGTTTTCTCTATTTTATTAAAAAGCAAAAAAGCTTTGCTTATATAATTGTTTAAACACTAAAATTTTATGTAAATCTTATTCTTTAATTTGTAGGCTATTTTAGACAAATTTGCTTAGAAAATTTGTATACAATATCTATAATTTACATTTTTATAAAAATAAAATATTTAAACAAAAATTTTTTTGATAATATTTATTATATAATTATAGTATTTATTTTTATTTTATAAAAAAAAATATAAGTTGTCTATATACTAAAGTCATATAACTTTCAAAAAATTTTTTAGTTAAAAAATTTTATTATTTATTCTTGATAAACTTATTAATTATATAGAATTTATAGAACTCTTTCCGACGATCACCAAAACAACAAAATCTGAAGAAAGAAAAAACAAAATAGAATAATACACAACTACTTTATATTAAATAACTAAATATTA